CAAAACTTGGTTTCAAGATGGCCATGTACATAATCCAAATCCTTTCATGACCCTATCCTCTTGAACAAAAAACAGCCTTTGTGTTTATATGAATATTTAAGTGGCAGTTGAGTTGATAAACAAACTTGTAGTAAAGTGAAGTGGGAGTATTCATGTATCATGAGTGACTTGGTTCAATCCAGTGTTGATGCGTGTTATCATTTTTATATTTTTTTTACGTGGCAACATGAATCTGCACGTGACTGATGTGCTCTAATTACTGCTTGTTGACACCAAATGGTTTTCGTTGAACAACAATAGGTTTATCGACCGTTCTCAATTATTTTAAGCAGAAATGGCGCGCAACTTTTAAAAGTGTAGGTATTCTCTCTTGTTAGCAGCTCCTCCAATAAGGCCCTTTGTTTTTTTCTCTCTTTCTCTCTCTCACGCCCGACAGGGTTTTCTCTATTGCTGTTTTATTGTGGACCCTATGGAAGCACGAATACTCCAAATGGTGTGGTACCGAGTACCGGGTACTTACGGGGTGCTGGGCATTGCGTACCGGTACGATAGTAGTAGACGCGCCTTGCGGCCTCACTACAATTCAGGAATCAAATTTTGTCACGGTTCTAAATCTTGAACCAAAGAGTCCAAATCTGGGCATATCGTGAGAGAAACAGAATTTTTTTTGAAAGAAGTGCCAAACATGGACTGCTTGCCAGATAACAGAGGTCGCCACTAAATGTTTTATTTGGGAAATTTAGGAAAACCCTGACTTCGTTGCCTAAGGCCACGTGTCCGTTATCACACAAAGTTGCCTCGGCTCGGGAACTTTGGGTACGATTTGAAGGTCACTTCCGTAGCACCCCGCTCACCCGATCAAAGATCGGCCTCTACAACCATGATTATCTATTTTTGAGAACGAGTTATGCGTTCTTATTCCGAGTTATTAGCTTAGATTTACTAATATTGATTGCGCACAGCATTACAAGTATAGACCGGTCGCGTTGAATTGGAACAGAACATTTCATGTTTGTTTTTGAATGATGGTTTGGCTACTGCGTAAGTAGGCTTAAAAATGCAAATTTTTGCCACCCTTAGGGTGGCTTTAGAAAATATGATTTGCCACTATCTAGTAGGCTTAAAACTCACAGATGAATGATTGTTCCAATCCAAATAACCCAACCTCACCACAGGCATTCAGGCAGTTATATCACATAAGCAATTAGCCTCATGGTAAGCTGCATACATGTGGGCAGTCACTCACACGCATCTAAGGAGAGGAAACAAGGTGTGTGCCAAAAACCAAAGCAAACGGAGGTAGTTAAGCGATCCCGAATCGAGGCACACGACCGACAGCTCCGAAAAATCGAAAACTGGTCTCCAAATGGGAAAAATCGCCTACGACCGCGAAACGTAGCCTATGGCCATTGAGGGATGATCTACGAGACCTCTCCATCCCTTCGGGAATAGAAAACGGAGAAAACGGGACCTGGTTCGCAAACTGAGGCAAGGCACAAAAGAGCTTGGAAGTCCGGAGGCAAGGCTCGCAGCTGAGACTCTAAAACCTCAGAACGAGCATCATATGCAATATCGCCGAGTGCTCAATCGGTGATGTCTGAGTCTTAAGGTCGGTCAAAAATGGGGTGTCTACAAGCAGTACGCATACCGGGTATGTTGAATACATGCCGTGTACGACAAATACATTTTGGTATGGCGAGGTGATTTTTTTTTTTGTTGCAGCTGTTAGAATTTATTGTAACCTTTATTATTCTTTTTTCAATTTTGAAAATATTACGTAATTATTTTCAACACTCTTTATCCACGAGTCATGGTTTTGCTCTCTCTCTTTTGCATCCTGTTTTAGACAATCAAAAAAGAAAAAAAAAGAAAAGAATTATATAACTTTTTAGACAAGTTGTTCTCTTTTCAGTTTTGATATTGAAACTTTGATTTGTATGTTGGACATTTAACTATAATTTAATTAAAAAAATTGATGTACCCAACCGCACCTGCACCCTACTTTTTAAATAATTTTTCATATTGATGTACCTGTATCCGTATCCGTATCCGCACCTGTGCTTCATAGGTGGTACCACAAATTGCCTCTTTGAGTAGCCATATGAATGACTTTATAAGGTTTCATAGCTTGGCTTAGTTAGGGGGCATAAATTAATTCAAACCCAAATCTGGGTCTTCAACTGAGGCGTTTTTTAGGGGACTTCCTGTTTTACCGTAATTGTCCTCCAAGCAGCCTTGGACATTTCTCTTCTCTATATGTATATGTGTGTGTGCATATGTATACCTAGACATATAGAATAAGATTTGTATATATAGATATAGAGGTTAAAATTTAATATTGAATAATGGAGCAAGGATTTTTAGGGTTTTCTCTTTCCAGTTAAATGTGGAGTTGAAAATTACTTCTTTGAGTAGCCATATGAATGATTTTAATAAGGTTTCATAGCTTGGCTTAGTTAGGGGGCATAAATTAATTCAAACCCAAATCTGGGTCTTCAACTGAGGCGTTTTTTAGGGGACTTCCTGTTTTACCGTAATTGTCCTCCAAGCAGCCTTGGACATTTCTCTTCTCTATATGTATATGTGTGTGTGCATATGTATACCTAGACATATAGAATAAGATTTGTATATATAGATATAGAGGTTAAAATTTAATATTGAATAATGGAGCAAGGATTTTTAGGGTTTTCTCTTTCCAGTTAAATGTGGAGTTGAAAATTACTTCTTTGAGTAGCCATATGAATGATTTTAATAAGGTTTCATAGCTTGGCTTAGTTAGGGGGCATAAATTAATTCAAACCCAAATCTGGGTCTTCAACTGAGGCGTTTTTTAGGGGACTTCCTGTTTTACCGTAATTGTCCTCCAAGCAGCCTTGGACATTTCCCTTCTCTTCTCTATATGTATATGTGTGTGTGCATATGTATACCTAGACATATAGAATAAGATTTGTATATATAGATATAGAGGTTAAAATTTAATATTGAATAATGGAGCAAGGATTTTTAGGGTTTTCTCTTTCCAGTTAAATGTGGAGTTGAAAATTACTTCTTTGAGTAGCCATATGAATGATTTTAATAAGGTTTCATAGCTTGGCTTAGTTAGGGGGCATAAATTGATTTGGACCCAAATCTGGTCTTCAGCTAAGGCATTTTTGAGGGGGCTCTGTTTCACCATCAGTTGTCCTCTAAGCCATCTTGGACATTTTCTTTCTTCTCTTTCGCTATGTATATGTGTATGTGTACATATATACCTAGACATATAGAGCAAGATTTATATATATATGCACTAAAATTGCCTCCCGAATAACTAGATGGAGCGAGGATTTGTATTGTTTTCTACGCTTTTTGAGTGGCCATATGAATGGCTTTATTGGGTTTCATAGCTTGGCTTAGTTATAGGGCATAAACTAATTCATACCCAAATTTGGGTCTGCTAACTAAGGCTTTTTTGAGGAGATACTATGGTAGTGTTTGGTAAAGTTTAGAATTATGATTTGATAATAGAGTTGTATTTTGAGTTTGTGAGTTTTGGAATTATGAGTTGAGTGTGGAAAATTTGTTTGGTTATGAGTTTTGAATTGAGTTTGAAATGAATGATGTGACATATGATATTTGATTAAAAAACTTACAACTCATAATCAAACACACAACCTAAAATTTTATTCAAAACTCATAAAAAAATTTTAAAAAATTCCAAAGATATTTTTTATTTAAAATATAAAAATAATAGGTGCAAAAAAAAAAAAACGAACACTGTTCTGATCAACCGGCCGGACATCCGGGGGGACATCCCGGTGGATGACCGGGTAGATGAGTTTTCAAACACAGGTGTGGAAATGATTTTTGAAACGCGGAACCAAATGTCGCATTCAAATCAGTGGGTGGAATTATGATTTGAGAGCCCCACCAAACACAGCCTATGTTTTCCTCCAAACAACCTTGGCAATTTCTCTTCTCTTTCTGTATATGTGTGTGTGTGCAAGATCTATAGAGATATATAGGTTAAACTTGCCTCCCAAGTAACTCAATGGAGCAAGGATTTGTATGGTTCTATTTTTTCTATTTAATGTTATGCTGCATATTGCCTCTTTGAGTAGCCATATGAGTTACTTTATAGGGTTTCATAGCTTGGTTTAGTTAGGGGGGCATAAACTAATTCAGACCCAAATTTGGGTCTTCAACTAAGGCCTTTTTGAGGGGACTCTATGTTTCACCACCATATTGTCCTCCAAAACAGACTTGGACATTTCCCTTTTCTCTTTTCATATTTAGATGTGTGCATGTGTACATATATATACCTAGGCATATAGAACAAGGTTTACATAGATATATAGGTTAAAATTGCCTCTCGAATAACTGGACGGAACATGTATACATAGTTGTCGTTTAGTCCAGACAAAGGCACAAAATGAGAGAGACACTCTCTCTCTCTCTCTCTCCAAATCAATTTGAGGATAAGGAACTGTTCCATTTCTCTATTCCTTTCCTAGATTGCTTCGGATATATATATTTTCATCTGTAAAAAGTTTGTTCTTACTATATTTATTGTTGAACAATTGTTAAGGATACTTTATGCATTCAATATCAAAATGATTTCTTCCTCTACATTATATGCATCAGTGAGAAATACATAGATTGGACTGGCCAATACTATAGTACTATGATGCTTATTGATAGTAATGAAGCTTATTGGAGGCATTTTCATGAACCTTTAAGGTCGTCTCCCCCATTTACTCCTGTTTTTACTCAGATTTGAGTAAAAGATGAGAGAGAGACTCTCTCCGAATCAATTTGAGGATAAGGAACTGTTCCATTTCTCTATTCCTTTCCTAGATTGCTTCGGATATATATATTTTCATCTGTAAAAAGTTTGTTCTTACTATATTTATTGTTGAACAATTGTAAAGGATACTTTATGCATTCAATATCAAAATGATTTCTTCCTCTACATTATATGCATCAGTGGGAAATACATAGATTGGACTGGCCAATACTATAGTACTGTGATGCTTATTGATAGTAATGAAGCTTATTGGAGGCATTTTCATGAGCCTTTAAGGCTGTCTCCCCCATTTACTCCTGTTTTTACTCAGATTTGAGTAAAAGCTTCATTTGATATAGGATGCTTCAACAGTCAAACTCAGATTTGAGTAAATGCTTGGCGAGTGTTATGATTGTTAAATTTTGAAGTGGACATGTCACCACCACAAAGTTGTCTTTAGAAATTCGAGTAAAATAAGTCTCTTGATTTGAGTTAAAAATTGAGTATAACAAGTTTAAGTAAATGTTGGAGAGAGTTGTTTAAAGGTTTTACTCAAATTTAAATTTGATCTGGGTAGATGCAGTTTACTCAAATCATGACTTTAGTTCAAATTTGAGTTAAAAACAGTCTAAACCAGTCTTGGTATTTCTCTCAAACCCTTACTGAATTGGGTTTCTCATTTTTCACTCACATGAAGGGAGACTTTTTGCAAACTCAAATCCTAAAGTAATATTTGGTGACATGCCAACATTATTTAATTACCCGTGTACCACCCCAGATGCTTTAACTGAAACTATAAAACTTATGTGACTTCAATTCTAGAACTGTTCTAGAAACAGCTCTGACATAGGATACTCGTGTGGTTTCTTTATGGTTATGATGTCTAATTCTCTATAAATTATTTCCCTAACTAAATTCCCATTTTTGCTTTCATGTGATGATCAAATTATCATTTCTTAAACTTGTATAATGTTTGTTTTCTGCCTTTTGTGATTCATTTCATTTGAATGCATTTGAAATAGAGTTATTCTTTTTATTTATTTTTTTCTGTTTTGGTAGTTGTCTTTATCTTGCCCCATCCCATTAGTTTCATTTTCTTATCCTTTTTTTTTTTTTATTGTTTGTAACATCTTTACATTTGAGGTTCAGTATGTGTTTTTGCAATAATTTAAACTGATTAAATAAGATTCTTTAGTTCAAGTTGTCGATCAGTACTTTGACACTTTTGACTTATTAAGTTTGGTTTTTTTAATTACTGAGTTCTAAATTCTAATGACTGGCATGGTAGCTGCATATGTGCTCTTTGCACCTTTTTTTCTATTCCTTATGTTTTGTTTTAATTTCCATTTTCATTATGCTTTTCTCTTATTGTTGGAGCTGCAAAACAGGTTCAATTCTTTTGTTTATCTATATGAGTCTCTCCCCTTTTTACCTAAATGAACTTGAAATTTTCTGTGTAAGTGTCACTAAAGTCTTTTCTATTGTAACTGATTCTTGTGTCTTTGATTCCTATCCCTAACTTTGGTATGTGGCTTATATAATAATCTATCCATTATTTTTTGATTTGTATAATTATTTAGTAGCTTATGTTTTCTCTTGCGACCTTCATGTGGGAATCATAATTCTATGCTTCCAAGGTGAAGCATGCTTTCAATATTTTAGGTTTTGATATTTTTTATTACCTATTGAATGCTTTTATTGCCAATGATATATTGATTTGTTTGTTTAAAATCTGATGCTTCGAGTTTCTAACCTTGGAATATTGTATCATCTATGTTAGCTGTAAATGCGTGTGTGATATACATTTGTGAACTTCAACTTATATGCAAATGGAACTGTAGGTTTCAGTACCTTGACTCATTATTTTGTTACACATTATTTCAGTATCAGTCTCTTTTCTAATTCTGATTGTCACAAGGCCACTGTTTATTTGCAATTCACACTCGGGCATATCAAATATTGTATGGTTATGAACTGGAGTATTACAAATTGTGTTTTTTTTTTAATCCAGCTTCATTAATTATAAAGCCTGTGAACCAATGGTGTACATGTTTGCATGTTTAAGTATGCTCAGGTGGTGTTATTCTTATTAGGGCCCGTCCAAATCGCTCTATTCGATCCGATCCGCACATGTATGGGCGGTTTTGCAAATACATTAGGGTAGGGTGTGGTTTAAATTTTAGTTGATTTTCGAGTTGCGGGCGGGTTGCGGGTTTGAACCGCACCCGCCCAACCCGCCCGCATTAACAATTTTTTTTTTTTAAATATTTCAAATTTGGATCGTCCTTTTTTTTGGGTGAATAATCTGGACCGTTCGACTTTTCATCTTCATCTTCATCTACACCCAAACAAACAAAAACCCTAATGAATCTAATCTCTCAAACTCAAAACACAGCGCAGCTCTCACTCTCTCTCATCTCATCAGTCTCTCTCTCGTTTTTCATCTGGACCGATCAACCTCGCAAGAGATCGACTTTCTCTCATCGCAAGATCGACCGATCGACCTCACTCTCTCATCGCACCAATCGACCTCGTAAGATCGAATCTTTCTCCAGCAACTCTTATGTATGCGTCTCTCTCTCTCTCTTTACCTGATCTCTGATTTTTTGTGGGCATTCAGATCTATGTCTCTCTGACTTTGTTTTTTTTGTTCATCAAATGAATCAATGGCTATTGTGTAAATTCTTGATCTGGGAAGAAAAGAGGTTCTGAAGTGTTGTTAGGTCTATAAAAACATGAATCTTGAGATTGTGATTTTTATACACTATAAAAACATGAATCCTCTGATACTGGTTCTGGCTATAGCTGCTGGAAGCAGACATCTATAATTCCAAATCTTGAATTTGAATGCTTTAATACTGATATTCATGAAGATTTGTATAACCTTATTAAAATAAGAAGAATATTTCTTATTAACCGTTTCTTGAAGCCTGAACACCAGTGTATTTGCTTCTTTTCTTGTGGTTTCTGGGTAACCAAACAAACCATGGATAAGTTTGGGAGATGTTATTTGATTGGTCAGTAAAAGGGTGCTGAAGAAGTAATGTTATTTTTATTAGTTTCCTGAAAATGATGGCGCATGCTTGTTATTCAAAACCAACTAAAAATAAATATAGAAATAAATGAAAAAAAAAAATTTGGCCTTTATTTTCTTATGTTTATTATCTTTAGATTTTGCTTTTGCCTACAATTTGAGTCCAATTTGTTTCTAAATGTGTTTACTTTTTCCTTATCTATTATTTGGTGGAAAGCCTGAGGGAATTTGATTTGTTCCCTTGCTTTGTTTGATTTCAGAAAACCGATTGGGAAAAGAAATTGAAAATTCGAATTTAAGATTCCTCATTATTGAAGACCTTAGAAAACCTCAATCCTCTCTCAAATAACTCTAATGGTAATCTTTTATATAGCTAAGTATTTTAACAGAACATAACTAAATAGAACCTATAATGCAAAATTTCCTTTCCACTTATTCTCTCTAATTTCCACAAAGAGATTATGAAACTGATTTTGTGTGTGTGCGCATTTATTTTTATTTTTCTAATTTTTTAAAAGTATTTCTTTGACCAACTTCAATCCGAGACAGTAAAACAATAGCCTAGGATCATCAACTTGCAGGTAAAGACTCTCTTTAAAGAAAAAAATTCAACCGCAACCCGCCCGCACATTCGCAAACTCTACCTGCACAAACCGCAAACCGCACTGCGAGCAGTTGTGGTTTGACTTTTCTTCAAACTGCATAGGTGCGGGCAGGTCAAAACCGAACCGCAAACCGTACGAATCCGATCCGTGAATACCCCTAATTCTTATGGTAAACCACAAAGGATCAACTATTGTGAATTTATGTTGAATCTCGGCCAGTTTAGCTTTGCTTATTAAATTATGATATCTGGTCAAATACTCTACATACAAGACACTGATATTCTTCTTGCTTGACAGAGTGCAAGATGGCAGCAACATCCGCAACTACATTTTCAGTCAGATCAACTATGTCCGTAGGCTCCAAAGTGAGCCCAATTTCACAACCAAAGGCTTTTGGTGTGAGATACAACTCCAAGAATTGTGTCAAGAGCTTCAGTGGTCTCAAGGCAGCAACTTCCGGAAGCTGTGAATCAGACTCATCCTTCTTGGGCAAGGAAAACAGTGCAGCTCTTAGAGACTCCTGCACACCAAAAGCTCAGAAACAACATCAGAGATCTTGGAAGAACCCTCAACCACAGGCATCTTACAAAGTGGCAGTTCTTGGAGCAGTTGGGGGGATCGGTCAGTCGCTAGCACTTTTGATCAAAATGTCCCCATTAGTTTCAAATCTTCACCTTTACGATATAGCAAATGTCAAGGGAGTTGCTGCTGATCTCAGTCACTGCAACACTCCGTCTCAAGTTTTGGACTTCACAGGAGCTTCTGAGTTGGCCAATTGTCTTAAAGGTGTTAATGTGGTTGTCATCCCCGCTGGAGTTCCTAGGAAACCGGGTATGACCCGTGATGAC